GAAAAACTTGAAAACACTATGTTTTACGTGATTTTTTTTTTATGTGCACAGGTCAAGCTCTCCTTTAAGATGAATCCATAGAGGTTTGAATGTTTTAATTATTTATCTACTCATTTATTCAGCACTTAATTCATTTTTAATTACTAAGCATTATTTTTAATTTGAGCATCAGTGATTCTTTAAAAAATACTCTATAAATATTTGCTCAAAGGGTCACCTGAGAACCCCTGAAATATACATGTGCTCCAGATCCATACCTCTGGGTACAGTCTCGGGAGACTTCTCCATCCATGCCAAACCACAGCTCTGCCCAAGTAAACCCTTTAAAACAGTAGTGGAGAAAGCAAATTCACAAAATTTAGCAAACTGAAAGCTTCTTTCCACAATAGGTTGGTGGTCTCTTTTCTGGTTCTTGGGGAAGATCTCTTCCTAAAAAGCTCAACACTGCTCTTGTATATTATACTCACTGGTTTTGCAATTAACATGATTTTTCATCAGTCTAGGGATTTTCAAATGCCTACATCAAGACTCATACATCACAGATTAACCTTGAACTAAAAAGATGCAACAAAATGACAACGTAGTTTTGAATATAATTCAAATAAATTTGGACACTGTGCACAAATAATTTGCTTCTTGGTTGTTATTATGGTTCATATCTAGATGTCCCCCAAGGCGTCATGTACTCATAGGTGGGGCTTTTGGGAGGGGCCTGGATCATGGGGGTGTGATATTCATCAGTGTAGCAGTCCAGTGATGAGTTTATAACTGACTTGCTGCTAGGAAGTGGGGTCTGTTCAGAAGAGGTGGGACACTGGTCGCGTTGCCTGGAAGGGTTTATCTCTATCTCTTTCCTGTCTCTTCCTTCAGTCTTTCTCCGCATCCTGGAATGCACATCCTGGGTGAAGGTGCAGCATTTGCTTAAGAGTTGGCACAATTCTGCAACCCTGCATTTCACTACACACAAATGGTACTAGAAAACAGCAAGTGACTACAGGTACAATTCTGTCCAGTAATCTTTCCTAGCAGGCGAGTATCTCTTGTTGGGATAGGTAGGACACTTTCAATACTGTTGGCCATTTGCTGTCCATTTCTACACATACTTCTTGAAGAAGGAAACACTATACCCAAGCTATGACATGCAGGTATACCATCTGAGGAGCTGGACTCTTTCCACATCTCAGAGGCCCCTGAAAATAAGACCCCAACTCACACCCTCAACATTGCTGTCCACAAGACATCTAAAGCTTGGTTTCCACTGGGGAACACAGAGATAGCATGCACGTCAGAGAATTGCATAAACCAAGAATAAACAAACTTTTGCATGATGTTGATTTTAACACACACCCTCTGGGACCAGGCCACTACTGTCTTTTTCACAGGATTTAACCAATAAGTTCATATTTATAAGACTGTTTATTAATTTTAAAATTTTTTAAGTTTTCCAAGGTCTCTAACATCAAGAAGAGTTGCTCTCCTATATACATGCATGGAACTAATAAATATATTGTACTGAAGACATCAAAGGACAAATAGTATTACTCTGCCCTTGCTCCATGGAAATGATCTAAAGAAGTAATCTCTGTGGGTGTCTGTGGATGAGACAAGATTTTAAAACATTCTGTCCATGCCTCTGCCATAAGTTTGAGCTTCTGAACGTTTTCATGTCTTCAATATAGCTGTTATAGGTGTGTTCAAATGAATAAATGCCTCCTAGGATAAAGGCATAATACTAGATTATCAGGACCTGCATGTGAAATTCCCACCCTAGAAGCTAGATGTCTTAATTCCCTGCTTCTACCACCACCACCACCACCACCACCACCATTACAAGTAATTCCTGCAAGGGACAAATCAACAAACGAATAGATTTTTATACTCTGATGTGGGATAGGAAGGAGAGGGAATAAATCAGTAGTTTAAGGAAGACATCACTTCAGGATTGTGTTACTTCTTCATTACCTGTAATGAATGAAATGATTCACATAATTTAACATAGAAAGCCAAAGTAATTATTGCATTATAGAATTACAGCTATATATGAAAGGTGATGAGTTACAGAGTGCAAAGTATATATTTTATTTATTTTCAAGTCCTAAAATGACTCCATTGCATAACTACACCATAATTCTTTTTTTAATGGAGCTTTTTCACCCTGTTATTCAGAGGTAGTACAGAAGGATCCACTGCACACTGAATTTACTGATTAGCAATTTCTCCACAAACTAAGGGTAAATACTTCACCTGAACAAAATAGACCCAAGAAAAGACTCATAAGGTTGGAAACTCTCAGGGCACAGAAGCTGCTGGATTCAGGGTAGCTCAGGATTGGGTGAAGGATGCTCTGCCCAGAAACTACCACCTGGGCACAGGAGGATTGGGAGCCATGAGCACTTTGCACTTTGTGGAAGGTTAGCTTCCTTCATTGGACTGGATAGGTGTGACACTCTGGATTCAAATAGCAGAAGCATCCTATGAATAAGTGATGATGGAGGGAAAAGAGACAGAGACACAATACAATTGAGGGGAACCTGATGCTATCAGGGACCAAAGAAGACCCAGACAATGCCCAGGCATATGCAAACATTTCTTTGTCCTTAGCTAGTTTCATGATTTTAGGTCACTTAAAGGTAAGCATTATGCTGTGCTGCTTGTTGATGTAAGAGTGGATTAATGGTTCATGCAAGTAAAAAGGCAAAAGGAGGTTAAGGCGGTAAATTTCATGTTATGAATATTTTATAATAATGATTATGATAATCATAGAAAGGAGGGTGCTGCTGAGACAAGTCGTAAGTGTTAAGCTCCAGGGAAAATTATATCTTGAGTCAAGTCAAAAGTTGGCTGAAAGTTGCACCACCGATCAAAACAGTGAAACACACACACGTGTGCACACACAAACACATACATGGAAAGGAAGGGAGGGAAGAAAAGAGAAAAACACATAATTTTGGTCAAGGGCTATGGCTACACAGTACAGAATCATGGTACTAGCTGTGGTGTGCAGAGATGGGACAAAGGCTAGTGAGGGCCATACAGACCAATGTCCTCTATCTGTGTGACCTACACCTTCCTGGGAGTCCTACACCTTCCTGGGAGTTCAGTACCCTCAAACATAAATTCAAGAGTAGGACAACCAAATACTTGGGGTTTTATGCTCCAAGGTTTACAAAACATACTATTAGCAACAGGATACCTTCCTCAGCATCAAAGGCAAGGAGCATCTTCTGTCTATAGATAAAAATAATAGTATATGCAATTCTGAGGAAAGAGCTAGTTCAGCTTGGCAACAACTATAATATAAAGGCCTGGATTACTAGCCATCATCAGATACAGCTACAAATACCATTACTAGGACTGTACAATTTACCTTATTCACAGCAACCATCTCAATGAACTTTCTACTGGTGCCACCATGGCAGAAATATCCTGCTTAGTGACCTTATAAACATGCATTGTTTGATGTCTAGACATGAACTCTAATACATCAATTCTGTTCAAATTGCAAAGGCATCTAGAAGGAGTGGATCCTATAAGGACCTGCAGAAATGGTTGGCTGTCATAACAACCATGTCACTTGCTCCCATCTGAACTGGAGTGGGCACAGAGGAAGACGAGGTATTTTGAGCTAGTATTTCAGATACATATTAAAGTCCTGTTGGGTTGTAGAAAAGAACCATGATTATGAATGAATGCTCTCTTTTCTAGAAAATAATCAACCAAAGAATAAGGGCAGTTGTCTGCTCAGGGTATGGAATCATTAGTGGTGACAAATCCAACTTCATCTAAGACACATGGGAGGGAGCAGCTGTAGGTGCATGGTGACATCTTCATAGGAAAGATTTAGAGCCTTGCAGCCAATTCTGAGATATTGTGGGCGATGTGAAGAATGATTGGTCCTCAGCCAGGTTATGAGGCCATCATAGCCAGACATCCTATCCTGCACTGGCTTTAAATAAGAATATTGATGGTAGCTATAGGAGACCTTGGAGATTATTCAGTTTGACGTTCTTCATAGAGAGACAAGGACACAGTTTCAGAATGCAGGAGGTTTTTCTCCAAAGTTGAATCCCAGGGCAAAGTCGGAGGGGGAAGCATTTTTGTAACTGCTTAATCCTGGGGACAAGAAAGAAGGTTGAGAATAACAGCTGCATTTATGTACAAGGATATACTATGGCTAGAGTAGGTAATGCAGTAGTTAAAAAGGTTAACAGCACAGCCTAGAGCCCCAGAGGCAGCACCTCTGCACACAGACTCTACCTCTGTCCCTTGTGGAGTCTTGGGGACTGATTTACTGATGTTATAAAATAACACAGGGAGATGCCTTCCTGCACAGAAGCCAGCTATGATCAACAACACATTTCCTAGCTTAGAAAAACCCCATGACACAGGATCACATGAGGCAGAAAAGCAACTCCAGAGTCCCAAGGAACAGAACAAAGTCAGGGATTGGGGACAGGGCGTAGAGGGGGTTGAAGTCCTAAAATTTAAGAAAGATTAAGTAAATCTAAACTTTCTTTTCTCCACAGAGAAAAGTGCAAGGAAAAAATGAACCCCTGGGTCTATATGGTTGTATTTTAAATATAAAAGCGGGGCTGAGGGTTTGGCTCAGTGGTTCTGCTGCCTGACTCGCAAGTGCAAGGGCCTGAGTTTGATCCCTAGTACCAAAAATAAATTAAATAAATAAGTATATAAGCTAAGATATATCAGATTGCAAAGAAAGTTTATTACTTTGAAACATAGCTCCACATCTTTAAATACATAAATAAAATATATTTATATTGCTTAATTAATGATTCATAATACAATATATAAAACAGGCAAGTTGAAGTGAGTTTTTGTTTTAAGTATTTATTAGTGTCATGACCATTTTTGTCAGATCAGTTAATAATATTTAATGGCAGGTTGTCTTGGATGAGGAAATATACTTCCCAAGTGGACATTCAATTCTGTCTTTTATCTTCTGACAGCTATAAGCATAGAAGTCTTTACAAAAACAGAAGAATATAAGCAAGGTACATTTGTGTATCTTACTCTAGGAGGAAAAGAGCAGACACACGGAATGCATTTCCAGACATCTGCAGCTGTCTCTGTGCTATGAAAATACTTGTGACTTCTGCTGGTCACAGGTTCTGCCAAAACTACTATAGCTTTGCCTGCAGACCTGCCAAATGTCATGTTTTGATTAGATGCTCATGAAGAGAATTGTCTTTTTCCTCCTCCAACCAAGACCATGGATCTTGTTAAGAAATCTCTCCTGCTGCCTGAGATGAGAAGAGCCAGGGCCTGGGGTAAAGGTGGGGCATCCATGGATCTCTGGATTCAGGAGCATCAGCAACAAGGAATATGGGCTTTCAAGTTCAGGATTTTACCTCTGAAAATACATTTTATTAAACTTTCAGTAAGCAAAAACCATTAAACACACATGTGTTATCCTTGTGTCCATGGCAGGTTGGGGTGTGAAGAAGGATTGTGTTCACCCCAGGGATAGAATGGACAGGATGGTGCATGCCATGCAAGGCCATGGGGGCAGAGCCCAGCAGTGACCACAGGGACATTCCCAAATGACATCCTCAGGACATCCTGAGGTCAGGAATAATATGAATTACCCAGTTTATGTATTAACTGTGTGGGATATGTGAGTGCCCCAAACACTTCAGGGCTAGCAAGTTGACAACAGGGACAGTCACTTCTAGGGGAAGTGTGGTCACCAGGGACTTCTAGAGAGGGTATTATCCATGGAGCTGCCCCAGCCTGGGAACTCTAGGTGCACAAAAGCAGATAGAGCACATCCTGGACATGCAGCTACAGAGGACCAGACACAGGGGAAAGGTGAGGAAGGAGCCCAGATACCTGCCCAAGGGGAGGTCAGGTCTGTAATATGGAGTGCAAGCCAGCTTCTCTCATCTGGCCAGTGTGACCTCAAGAGGTGATATTTTTTGTAACCTTGGAGCAATGGGGAGAATCTCCAAAAGTGTGGGTATTTCCCTAACATGCCCAGGTGTGTAATGGTGATCAAACTACTGGCTAAATGCTTAAGTTAAAAAAAATTACCACAGTAAAAGACATATTGTCACTAATTTCCCTCAAACTACTCTCCTTTGCTTTGAAGGTATCCCACCTTTCTTACCACTTTCTGAAGCAGTTCTGGAAGTCCTGTTTCTAGAGTGTCTGTATGTGGTGTGATAAAAATATAGTGTATGTTGCTGCTGAGCACAATTCAACAGAAGGGAGGCTCATAAATACATGATGCCATGTCCTCATGTACCTTATTCAGCAGATCTGGCACTGTGCGACTTCTAGTTCTTCCCCAAAATGGAAATGACCACGAAATGCAAATATTTTGAACCCATTCAGAACACTGAAGCAGCCACAACAATGCAATTAAAGGAACTCAGGAAAGAGGACTTCCAGAACTGCTTCAGAAAGTGGCAAGGATGATGGGCTAAGTGTGTTTGAAAGGAGGGAGAGGATTTTGGAGAGGATTCATGACAATGTGCCTTTTACTACAATAATTTTTAAAAATCTAAATATTCAGTGTATTTTCCTCTTCTTCTTTTTTGGTACTGGGGATGGAACTCGGGACCTTGCACTTAGCGAGGCAGGCAGCAGAACCACCGAGCTAAACCCCAGCCCAATTCAGTGTACTTTCTGATCACAGCTCTTATCCTTAGGTGCTGAAATCATCCACAGCTCTCTCTCTGGAAGGTCTCAGAACATCAGCATCATGACTTTGAGCAAGGACCTAGGTTCCCTCACTAATGGCTGGATGTTCTCATTTCTTCCCCAGTGTTGCTTACCATGCCTATTGAGCAGGGCTGGAGAAAGGAAAAGTAACGCTTGATATCTACTATTTTGTTGTTTTGTTAGTAAGATTTCAGCAGCATTTTTAAAAAAATATGGGTCAGGGCAGAAAAAGAACCAGGGGCCACAATCCCTAGTTTTTGACATAGGCCATTTCTAATCCACTATTGTGCTTTTCCAAGGAGAAAACTGACATGTAGTCAGATAAAAATGGACCCATTTCTCATTCAAACTGGAAATAGAAAACACAAGCAAAACATTTGGGAGGTTTTTCAAAGCAAGACTTCCTTCATCGTCCAGCATAACTGGAGCTCCCACCATTCTTTTACTGATCTTTTACTTTTTCTTTTAATGATCTCTCTCCAAATTCTTTTTTTTTTCTGTCTGTGAGATGCATATCAAAGCCCCAAATCTCCTGAGTTTAGAATATGTAGGAACACACATTTATCCACTTACACATTTTTCCCCTGTTTTCACATCACTGGAATTAACAATTGGTATCTTCATTACAGATTCTTCTCTTTACAAAATATCCTCATGGACAGCAACCAAAGTCCTTGAGACAATGAAAGGGGTGCATTCAGAGTTTAAGACAATGAGGCAAGCACACTAGGGTTTGTTTTGTGGAACAGGGAGTAAAAATTAAGTTCTACCAGAGAAGTTGAGGCTAATGGTAACATATTGGGAGCTTCTTATGTGACATTAAAGACTCCTATATGCATATCATTGTGGGGTCAGACCACAGATATGCTGGTTGGTCCAGTTTACCTGGAGTTGATCCAGTTTACCTGGACACTCACCATGGCACATGGGTGAGGACAGGAAGCATCTCATGATGCAGACTGCATGATTCTCTCATTTCTTACTATCACAGCAGACAACACGGAGAGTGTGGCACACAGTGAAGCAGGCAGGAATCACCCTCATTCACAGGGCCCTGCGAATTCAGGCTGTGTTGCCACTTCTGGTGACAAACTTGCAGAGCTAGGAAGAGGTGGAAGCCAAGGGAAGTCTAGAGAGGAGAGTAGGAGATGGGGGGAATTTTTCACTTGGGTCATAGGAAGTAGGGGAGAACCACTGCACAGATGAGCAAGAGCCAGCAGGGAAAGATGACCAGATAGAAAACGGAGTCCAGAGACTCTGTTGGCCAGAGCATCATGGCAGAGGAAACAGACAGAATGTCTGTTCTCCCAGATGCATATGTCAGACCTGCACCGGGAGGTGATGGTGTGAGAGGTGAGACAGTTGGGAGGTGACCAGCTTATGAGACTGGAGCCCTCATGAGCAGTATCAGCCCTTGTAAGAAGGACCGCAGAGTGGTGCTGTGTCCCCTCTGTCATGTGAGGACACAGTGAGGAGACACCACCTATAAGCCAGGCACAGGTCATTGTCTGTGGCACCAAATCTGCAGGCATTCTACTCTTAGATGTCCAGCAGAAGCCGCCTGCTTGATGGCTTTTGGTTATAGAAGCTTATGTGGACCAGAGAGCCAGAGAAGAGTCTCAAGTAAAGGTCACTCCAAGTGGAGCTGTGTCCCAGGAAGAAGGGCCATGACAGGAGGATCTGGGCAGGAGAAGGGAGAGAACAAGAGTCCCAAATGCAGGATTCTATCCAGTGCAGAGAGAAATACACACTTCACACTGAAAATGCAGTGTGGACAGCACAGAAGGAGGGGCAGAGCAGGCACAAAGTCAGCTGGAAACAAGACCCAGTTAACTTCCAATGAGTGACCATGCTGAGCAGAACAGAATCACGTGGTGTAAAGGTCATGAATCTGGGATCCTTTACACTTTGGACAGGAAAACGTTGTCAACCTGCATGGGATCTGTGCTTAAAGAATGAAATACATAGATATATTATTTGTCCTCAGATTGAAAGGTACACGTTTGTAAGAGTGAAAGATTGCATGCATGAAATCTTTTTTGCTCTCAATAAATAGTGAAAAAACAAAATCCCTAGAACAGATAAAGCTTTGCCAATAAGAAGATAATGTCACAAAAAGAAATTGAATCAGGTTTCAGGAAAAGGAGAAGGATCAAGAACAAATAAAAAGCAAATTATAAAAACCAAATACTTAGACTAAGGTCTACACAGCTGTGGGATTGAGAAATGTTTATTTAGATTCCAAAGTACAATGTGTTGAATACAGATTTCAAGGAAGGAAGCAGGTAAACCACACTGACAAGATGGATGACCAAGAAAGAGCAGAGTATGTAATTGTACAGAGAAAGGTATTATCTTTTCTGATGATACTATGGCAAGAGCCAAAATTATTCATCAATGTCTGAGTTATTTGGCAAAGGGGAGGATGAAAAAAATTCCAGTTGGCACAGAAAAGGGCAAAAAAGTACCATTGACAGGATGAAAGGCAAAGTCTACCCAGAGCAGGAGTCTATGCCGCAGAAGTGACCACAGAAGTAAAGTCCCTGGGGCTCCCCTCTGGGCTCTGAACACCCAGGGCCACCACATTCTCACCACAGAAGCTCACAGATACTGGAAGTGACAGAGGAGCCCAGAGCATCATGCTGACCATTCACAGTCTCTCTTCCTCCCCACCCTGCTTTGCAGAGGACAGGAAGGTCTAGTTGTTTTCAGATCATGTGCTATTTGAAAATGACTACTTTGATAAGTAAGACCTGAAAAGCAAGTAAGTTAACAATTTGCAAAAATGTTTGTAAATAATACAAGTGTCATAAGAGTTCAGGCATCATTATTAGTTCATAAGAATTCTCAAAAATTCTTTTCTACCTCCTGAGGAAAGAAGTATGAGCTAGCAGTATGGGAAGAATTATTTACTGAGATGCTGTATTTAATCTGTAATTTTGAAAGAATAATCATACTATGTTTCATTTCCTTTAGAGCTCCTTCATATCATGAAATTTCAAAGCTTTTATGATGAATCAGTTGGGTGTTCCTTTCCCAAACCACACAAGGAAACACAGGAGACTGCTTTTGCTAAACTTTCTGTTTATGCCTTGGATTCTCATTTTTATATTGATTTCCATTCAGGTGGACCCCAAAGAGAAATCTCATTTGTTCAAAATATATCATAATTAAAAGTGATTTTTAAAATGAAATAGTACGTTATTCATTAACTGGTAGACAGAAAAACAGGCCCAGGTGAAAGATAGCAGAAAGGCTAGGAGCAGCTCTGGAGATAAGATCATAATGAGCTTTTGGTACAGTTTGGATATAGTTTGACTGTGTCCCCAGGGCTCAGTGCCTAACAGCATCCACATGAAAGATAGTGATGCCTTTACAAGGATGGGCTTAGTGCATGAACTTGCAGGTATCGAACGAACTTGGAAGGAAGTGAGGTGGCTCTCTTTGCACTCTGGTTAGTTCTTATAAGAAATCAAGTCTGACCTTGACCCTTGGCTTCCTGTGGGACCATTTGATACCTCCACCTACTTGCATTCCTACCACTGCAATACCATTCTCCACAGGGTCTCCCCAAAGCCCAGCCCCGGCCAGCACCAGGCCCCTGAACCTCCAGATTTATGAGCTGAAAATACTTTTCTTTGCAAAGAACTCAGAATTGGGTATCTCATTGTGATAAAAAAGGGCTAATGCAGCTTTGCTATTTTATACCAGCTTCATGATTTTTCATTTTCTTGATGGGGACTGAGAAAGAAACAAAATATTTAGTTCCTTTGTTTTACCCAGTTAAATGCACCAGTAACACCTGGGCAGATGGGGCCCACAGATCCCTGTTGTCTCTAATGGAGAAATGAAGGATACCTTTCCATCACCTCACCAGAAAATGACCCCTATAGTGTAGACCCCATGCCAGCCCAGTTTCCCATGTTCTAGTCAAGCACCGGACTCTCCTTTGTTTCTATGTGCCGGCAAGCCCTTTACTTTTTGCAGGTCTGAGATCCAGTCTGTGCCCTGTGTTGGGGACTTGGAGACCAACCCTAAGTCTCAGTGTCACTAGGATTCCTATGACTTGGAAAAATCCATGTTTCCAGTTTGTCCTTACAGTTGCAGTGCATTGCACAGGATACAGGAGAGAATCAGAACAAGAGTAAGTCCAGATGAGCCAGCATAAGTTCACAGGCACCCTTTGCTAGAGGGATCTTCTGAGCACAGTGAATCTTCCTTGAATTCATGTTACCAATCACAGAAGCTCACCCAGGCCTGGGTGCCCAGGTTTTTTTGGGGTTGGTTGCATAAGCATGTAACACTGCCTAACTGACTTCAGCTACCTATTACCCTAGAGCAGGGGTGGCCAAATCCATGGCACAAGTGTTGTTTTTCTGTTAAGACAAAAGATGTTCATGTATGAGTTGTTTGATCTAAACTAAAACCTCAGTATTCAGGTTTAATTGCAGTGCTGGCATTTTGCCATAAATAAATGGGTTTGGGTTGTAGTTTGGGCACACATCTAACATCACTGCCCTAGAGCAATACAGTTCACCAAGTCACACCGTCAGGGTAAACCATCTGACCAGACTGGTTCCTGAGGTCCAAAGCCTGAAAAAAAAAAAAAAAAAAAAGTTCTTATTGGCCAAAAGATTGCAAACACTGGCAGCTAATTTCCCAGTCCTGAAGGCAGGCCTTTACAGGGATGAGCAGGGATCCGCCCCCCACCAGGGATTGAATTCAAAGCCTTCACATTGAGCCCTTTAAATTTTTTTTTTTTTTTTTTTTTTTACCTTGAGATGCAGTCTTACCAAGTCACTAAGTAGCCCACACAGGGCTTGAGTTTGTGATCTTCCTTCCTCAGTGGCCCTGGGTTCTGAGATTAAATGCCTGCATCACAATGCCCAGCTCTGAGCAGGCACTGAGCAAGCCAGGGCTACTCAAGGATCCCTTTCCTGTAGAACGTACACTTCCTTTCCACAGTCAAAAAAGAGATCAAAGACTTCAAACTCTTGTGACTTAATCTACCACAAGAAATGTATTTCACATAGCAGCCCTGTAAACTTACTACACATACATGTATAATAGGTAAAACTCCAAACCACAACAGTTCATTCTACTAGTGACTTTTGAATGGTTACTATTGCATTTTATTTTCTTAAGCTGACGGTGACCTACTAAATTAATTTCATTACCTTTTAATGTGTCAGAGCCTGCACTGTAGAAAAACAAATGAGCAAAAGAGTTGAAATGGAGTGCTGAGGGGCTTGAAGCCATTATTTGAAGAAAGGGCAACCATGTTCATAACTGTGTTGGACTTAAGGTTGTTAATCATGACAGACAACAGGATAAGCAGATGGCAGTGGGATGGAAGGGGGCCCTGGATAAGCCATGGAAACACAGTCAATGGCCCAGTTGCACCAAAAGGTAATGTTTTCTCTAGCTCCCTCCCAACTCTTTTGGATGCCTTCCTACATGTCTCCTCATCCTTTCTTTCTTCAGTCTGAAATACAAACTGGCCTTTTCCCTTAAGAGCATCCTCAACAATCACTGTATTCCATGCCTCAAGATTCTCATTTGCTCACATCCTTTCTAAGAAATCCTAAGGGAAGGCAATAATCAGGCAACTTGATGGGCACAAAATGTGAAGTCCTAAGAAGTCCGCCCTTACTGCTCCTGGTATTCAGATTTAAAGGCATTGTAGGAGAAAAACTATTTCAAGACACAGCAGTGTGTGCGTACATACTCATGCGCGTGCACACACACACTCACACACACACACACACACACACACATCTCCCAAAACCATCACAACTCCCAGGGACTGGAAAGCCCATGGGTGACAAAGCTCTGGCTGTTACAGGATGCAGCATATTCCTATGTGGCTCAATCTGTGGAGGAGCTCTTGTTGGACTCCGTGACCCAAAGGACCTCAGTTTAAACACAAGAGTTTAAGATGCAGGTATAACAAAATGTCAAACTGGAGCACTGTACAAAGGCTTTGATGCCTGGCAAGGAAAATAAGAGGACAGTGATGGCAAGATGCAGCAGATCTACAGCCAAAGGGAGAGACATCTATATCCACTTAGAAGACAGTCACATTACTTAGGGAAGAGTCAGTCATGAACTCTCAAACAAGAATTGCATTATGCAATCATAAAACATATAAGCTAATAAACAGATCTCAGAGATCACATTAATGAGGCAGACCATCACTGGAATCTGCGCAGCCACATCTGATTTACAATTCGTCCTTTTTCCCATCCAATACTATCTTTCAAACCCATCTCTGGGGACTGAAGCCAGTTTTTCTAGTCCTAAAGAGTTTGGTTTTTCCACATTTGAAATGAAGTGTTCCAAGATCATTGCCTTGAGAGAGAAAATGAAATTGATCATCTAATAAATCGGTTATGTCGCCGACAAACTCAGTCTTTAAGTACACATGGCAATTTATTCAATTACCATCAATCTTCTTGTAATATGATTTGTGGATGACAAGAAAAATAATACACATAAAAGTGGTTTTGATGCTTATGATGCTCACATAGAAAGATATCTACTCACTAAGCTCTCTGAATTCAGCTGGTAAAAACAGACATTATTTGTGGATTGATAGCTAGACTATTTGAAGGTTTAATCTTTTAATTCCAGTGATAAATATCAGATTTGCTCCCATAATTCCTTCTCACCCACTCTTTTTAAGAAGAGATATGTTACAGCTGAGAAGAAAATTATACAGCTGGAAGAATAACTTCTTCTCTTGGCAGATTGAGCGAGTATAAGTACCAGCAGCTCCCAGAACAATAAGAACACCGAAGGCCACAGGTTAGCATTCAAAAGTAGAACTCAACCTAAAATCACTCCAGGTAAGATGTTTTGACAGCCTTCTTTTGCAGTAATGGTCTAGATTTATTTATAATGAAGACTGGTAAATCCCTTGTAATAATTATCTCTATGAGTACTTTTTAAAAAACCTATAATACTTTGGAGTTCAGGTCTTTGTAATACTATAATCTGGCATTTAAAATATGCAAAATAAATGCTTTAAATGCACAAATTTCATTGAACCAAATAGCAAAGCCCTGCAAGGTTTTGTGATATAGATGGCTGGGAAAATGTGCCCTTTATTGTTTGGGGAGTGTGGACTGAAGAAGTGTGTGTGTACATTGGCACACGCATGCCCACACATGCATGTGTATGCAGAAACGTCCCTGCAACCTGCTACGGAAAGTATTACTCCTGCTTGTGTCAGATCACACAACTAGCACATGCCAAGGCTGAAGCACCCCTCCTGCTGCACGCTGGATCAAGGTACAGAAGATGGGGAGGACAGGTCTGAGCCTTTGCCACCTACCAGGCAGGGGAGGGACAAAGACAGGCATCGTGGACGCTCCTGAGCTCCAAATTCAGAAGTGTTAGGAGTGTTAAGCAGAACATGGAGAGCAGCTCATAGCATGGAAGAGCCAGGGGCAATCTTAGCTTGCAATAAGGACAAGCATCTTGAGCTGTGAGCTTAGCAGGCTCCTCCCCTTTGGTCCTGCACTGAGTCTTGGTCTGGATGTGGAGGAGAAAGTATCCACACCACTATCCACATGCAGGCCAAGTGGCAAAAGGGTTCTCTCTGCTCTCTCGGAGTCTAATTAAGACCAGTTCCAACCTCTGGGTTTATGGGGTAGAAAGAAGTCCAAAACCCTCACTAAGATTTCCTTGAGTTCAGCTGGAAGGGGTGGGGCATGCCTGTAATCTCAGTACTCTGTGAGACTGAGGTAGGATTGCAAGCTGAAGCCCGACCTGGGAAACTTAATAAATTAGCAAGACCTTATCTCAAAATGAAAAATAAAAAAGGGATGGGGGTGTTGCTCAGTGTGAAGGCCCCAGTACTGAAAAATTAGTTGATTAATGAACCAATTAATAAAAAAAAGATTTTCCTGAGTTGCAGGAACTATGTACGCCTCTGGCCAGCACTGCTAATGACCTGTTCTTACTACTCCTAAGGCTTCCCCATTGGACTCAAAGAAAGGCACACTCATGCTGAGTCTGGCTTCTCCCTCCACCTATGCTACACACACACTATCTCAAAATGAAAAATAAAAAAGGGATGGGGGTGTTGCTCAGTGTGAAGGCCCCAGTACTGAAAAATTAGTTGATTAATGAACCAATTAATAAAAAAAAGATTTTCCTGAGTTGCAGGAACTATGTACGCCTCTGGCCAGCACTGCTAATGACCTGTTCTTACTACTCCTAAGGCTTCCCCATTGGACTCAAAGAAAGGCACACTCATGCTGAGTCTGGCTTCTCCCTCCACCTATGACACACACACACACACACACACACACACACATACATGACAACATGCACACAAAGCAACTATTACTCTGAAGGACTTGTTTTAAAATGTTAGGAGAAGAATTCATGGAAGGAAGTGGAATATACAAGGTATGACTGAAAAAATATACTGTGGGCTTACATTTTTAAAAATGTATTACAATAAAAGACACATTGCCCTTCGTTCCCTCAAAGTTCACCCCCCTCCTTGGCTGGAACACACTTATCCCATCATCTTTGCCAACTTCTGAAGCAGTTCTAGGAGTCTTCTTTCGTTTAGTGTTTTTATATGTGCTGTCCTGGCTGCCACCATGTCCTGAATCAATTCAAAACTTTTACTTTCATTGTTATGTTGTTTTTAGGTAAGAGTCAGAAGTCTCACAGTGAAAGATCCGGTAAGTAAGGTGGATGAGGACACAGCATATTTTTATGAGCCTACCTTTCTGTTGGATGGTGCTCAGCGGCAGCATTCACTGCAGTTTTGATCACCCTCCTAAAGAAAGACTTCCAGAACTGCTTCAGAAAGTGGCAAGAACCATGTTGAAAGCAAGGGGGAGCATTTTCAGGGAGATTAATGGCAATATATCTTATACTATACTAAACTTTTAAAATTTAAATGTTCACCATAGGTGTTGCTCGTCCCTCGTGCATCTTTTAAGTGATTAACTTTTTTCTTTATCACTCAGATTTGCTGGGCCTTTTGCTTTTTCATGGTGTTCCCTCTCCCTGTTCTCTGGCTTCTCGCCTCTCCTCTCTCATTAGTCTTATCTCCTTCCCTTCCAAATGCAAACCTTCCACACCTCCCACGCAGCATGGCACAACTACCCCCATATCACTCTGGTCCTCAATTTCTCACTTTCAAGCAACTTTTTAAATTATTTTCTTCAAAAAGAAAGAAATGGCCGGGTAGCAGCTATTATACTCCTTTATTATTTTTGTTTCCATAACAAACATTTCTAAGTGGAATATGCATTACATGAGAGTTTTGTGCTCTACCTCCTCCATCACCTCCTAACAGCTCTGTGTCAAGTTCATTCTCTATTTAATCACTCACTAAAAATACTGGCAGGAAATCAGCAGCTCTGGGATTCCTCCCACTGAGAGGTGGAGTTCAATTTCCCACCCTCAGTCTGAGCTGGGCTTAATGACTGTGACATTGAATTTTATGTGTGAACTTGACCGGGCCCCAGGGTGCCCAGATAGCTGGCAAAACATTTGCAGTTTGCAGCTGTGAGGAAGTTTCTGGAAAAGATTGTGATTCGAGTGGCAGAGTAAAAAGGATCTGCCTTCCCAGTCCCTTAGTAAACAGGACAAAGAGGCTTAGGGACCATGACCTGGGATGACAGAGGAGACAGGAGCTGAATGACACAGTGTGTCACTTGTGATTGTGCAAAGTTGGACTCTCTCCAGTAAAGGAGGGAGGGGATGGAGCTGGCTCACCCCAATGCTCCTCCATGCACAGAAAGGAAGGAACCAGTACTCCTGCACAGTGGGAGCCTGTGGTCCTACGTAATCAGGGGATGGCCAGTCCTGCTTTGCAGGACTTG